AAAAGATTACGGTTATGTTGCAACCAAAGGGTACTATGTTTGAGAAAAAAATAAGCAGCCTCGAAACTTTGGTGTGGAAAATATCCGTTCAAAACCAGATGATAACGTACGCGACAAAAAAAGAAGTGGTTTTAAGGCACATATACAAATATGCGAAAGTCTGCGAATCATGAGAGTTTTTCTTTTCTTTAAAAATTCCTAAACTAAGCTAAATAATGTACCTTTGCAATCCTTTCATTTTTTGATAGAAATTATCTCTGGTTAGTTTTTATTAAAAAAAATTATAATAACGTACGCGACATAACGTACGCGACAGATTTTTCCCCCATACAATATTTTTACTAGTAACACATACTAAATTAAATTTTTTCAGTTCTTCTCTCCACCGTTTCGCGTTTTCAAAACCTTTTTCCGCCATTTGAATACGAAATTTAAAATTATAAAACTGTTGGAATTCATTTGCTTGCATTTTCGGTTTACATTTTCATGGAAACACGCATATATGCGAAAGTCTGCGAAGCTGAATACTTCTATAATATAAAAATTCGAGTATTTTTCTCTTATTAATTCGTCTTAAAACCCCTTTTCAGTTGTTTTTATTTTTTCAGTCCTGCTTGACATTTTCATGGAAACACCCATATGTTATTTATTATGGCAACGATTTCAAGTCTAAAATTAAATTGGCAGATCGAAATTCCGGTATTAACTACCTGAACTACCTTGATTTTGTGAATCACAAATTTTGGTTTTTTTTTGTTCACCTATCGCTCGTTGACTACGAAAATCGAACAATTTTTTTTCTATGGATAAGTTTTCGCGATATTTGCAATTTCCCGTTATTCAGCTTAAAATAAAAGGTGCCTCCACTTAATCACGTATATCGTAAAAACCAATTTAAAAAATTTTAATACGAAATACGGCATGTGAAAGGTAACAAAATTTTCCATAAATTCACTTTAACATGGGAAAAATTAAAAAAATAATCAATTCTGTGTAAATTTTTGTAAAGGGATTTTGGGAAATTCAAGTATTCAAGGATAATCGTAACAATATTGACTTCAAAGGAGGAGAACTCATTTTCTTACGTGTTATTCCCAGGCGATTTTTCAGGCAAATTTTGCGTTCAACTCACGAAGGGTTGCACGAAAAAAAATTGAATGGTTAAAAGTAATAAAATATAAAAATATTCGCCATAGAAAGGCGTTTGCATTGTTCACATTTGCATTCTAGTTTTGGTTGAACGGCCTTTCAACTAATCGCTTTCAATAAAGTTGGTCGCCAGCCATCATTTAGCCATTCTACTTTTTTTCGTGCAACCCTGCGTGAGTTGAACGCAAAATCGCCTCGTGCGAACACCTTTTTAGAACTATCGTAGAGAGGGGATATTCTTACACATAGCTGCATATGTATGTTTATCTAAGATTAGTTGCTTCTACTAGAAACTAGAGCAACAGCTAATTTACGGGAAAAATTCGCGAATTCTGATCAATTGGTACAGTGATCAGAAACAGGCAAAATAAGAAATTTGGTAAAAAACTTGTGCTCGCTCGTATAATGAAAACTGTTCTCAATTTATTTCAGTGTTCGGACCATAGTTTTTTGATTTTGAGTATTAAAGGACAGTGTTTAGGCTTTCATATCTTTTCACAGATAATTTACATCAATTTATTGTTTTACAAAAGTCCAAAAATAACAAAAAACGCGTTTTTTGACACCTTAAAACTTAAGTTTCTCGAAAACTAGAACCAATCTAATATCTTTACGGTCATATTCGGATTCTACAGCAAAAATCCAATAAGAACCACCTGGAATATTTTACTCAACAGAATTTTGTTAGACACTGTAATTGCTTTAGCCTTTACTTAAAAGTACATTACAAAGCTTCCTCAAATAGTTTTCAACGGACGCAAATACTAGCTCAGTTAATTAGTTATATTTATGGTAATAAAACTGGCTCAAATTACTGATCTCCCTTTGTTCTCCAACTTAACAGATTTATTTTACACCACAAAAGATATGCAATTCAGAAAGGGTGCATTAAATGAAAATAAAGATAAAAGTGTCACATTACTCTATTTTAACTGCGTTT